GGGGAGCTCTTTAGGTTAGGGGAGGATCAGATAGGTGCTGGTAAAATGTATTGTGTGTAGATGAGGTAGGAGTGTTAGTTGAATAAGAAGGATGATTAGGGTTTAGGTGCCCTGGAGTAGGTTTTAAGTGGTGGTATTAATCATAGAAAGCCTTCCCTTAGGTATAGTAATTTTGAATGAGTTGGAGGAGAGGGTTATTGGAGATCTGACTTTACTTGGTAAGTTAAAGGAGGTTGTGTGTTGCTGAGGTGAAGGGAACAGGTTCCAGAGGTTATCATGGTTGGAGTAAGAGAAAGATACAATGGGAGGGGGAGGAGAAAAAAAAAGGAAAAAAGAGAGAGATATAATGAATCTACCAGAGTCCTAGAATGAGGCGTCTAGGCTTATTGAGTACTGGTGAGAGCCCGTGGTCTAAAGGAAAGGCAACCAATGGACACCTTGTGGAGGCTGAGTGAGTGAGCCCACATTGAGTTGACCAGAACCCGACCAGATGCAGATTTTTGAGCCTGTGAACTGGTGCATATTGTTGATGACTTTATGGATGGCCTGTCCAGATTTGACGTTGCTTATGGATGCAGACTTCACAAGGTTCCAACTGGAATGAAGATTCTTCAGGTCGAAAAATATGATTGTCTCCTCAGAGCACTGGGTGATGTAAGTGAGCAGTATATAAATTGGATACCCAAAATTGGAAGATAAAGGCATGAAGTGGTTGGCTTACAAACTTTCACAGGTAGGGGAACATATTCACAGGATTATAGGGTTAAGGTGTAAGTGTTACTTAATTGCAATTTTGAGGCTAAAGAATTATGTATAGGTGCCAACTTGGCAAGGGGTAGATTGAGATAGTTAAAATCTATTGTGCCAACCTGGCTGACAAACACATATGAGGCTAATTGAAGGGCAGAGAGATAAATGGCTCAGTTAGCTTTGTCTTTCTAGTTCTCAGGTCTCTTGCTTTCTGGTCAGACAGCAGCTGCCTTAGCCAGTTCCCTGCTTCAGCTGGCAAGGTTCACTTCCTGTAAGACATCCCTGAGGAGAAGCCACATGGACCTATCCCGATGCAGCCCTGGGTGTTGGAGCAGCCATGTGGAGACCCCTGCCAGCACTGAGATGCTTACACGCTCACTGATTTGGCTTTCCTCCTGCAGTTGGAGTCATTGCGTGTGCTTTGTGAGATGGAGGATGACTTTGTGGACTGGTGTTGGACATATGGGCTAATGTTGGACTTGTGGGCTTGGGCAGCACTGGGTTGGGATGTTTTGTTGATATGGACTTACCCTTTATATAGAAGGTGACCAGATTTTAACACTGGTAAAGCGGGACCCCATTGATAAAACTCATATCCTGGCGAAATAGCGACATGGCATCCAAAAACCATATACCCTAGCTTGCCATTCATTCTTTCCAAAAATGGGGACTTTTTAAAAACACCACAGGATGTGGGAAAAATTGTTAAAAATCAGTACTATCCCGCCAAAAGCGGGACATCTGGTCACCTTATTTATATAAAACTCTCACTTATACATGTGAGTTTCTGTGGATTTGTTTCTCTAAAATACCCAGACTAACACACCATCTGTATTATGTAAGGAGAGTACACTCTTTCTGTTATTGTACTTATAGCAGTGGATTCCTCTATTGCTCAGAACTATCTGCTCCTTATGCTTGGCCCTAGGGTGTGATTGGACTATTATAGTGAATGACCCAAGGAGGAGGGACTTCCATTCAGAGGGCGATCAGACCAGAGTCTGGGCACCAGTTCCAAAGTCTACCTACCCTGTGGTGGGAAGGCCTTCAGGAAACCCAGAAATGCTGGGTTCCATTCCCCCCCCCCCACACCCAGTAACTGGTGAAGAGTTTTGTGATTCCATTTCCCTAACCAAATAGAAACACTTCTAACAACTTCCTAGAACCCACTTATGGCAGAATCCAACTGCTCCTCTCTTTCCCTGGTGCTAAAACTCTTTCCAACTGGTTGTATCTTGATCTGCAGGTGGGATCTGGGACTTAGCTAGAGATTATTACCAATGGGAACTCTCATCCCTCCAAGGCCTGTCATGGTTTCCAGTGCCCTAGGTTTACAGGTATCTACATAGGCATAAGTGGAATTCCCTGAGGTATGAACAGCCCCGGCTATTTCCTCATGCTGGTGAACCACTGAACAGGCGGTTGAGGGGAAAATAGGGGAAAAAGGGGGTGTTGCCATTGTAGTCTAGGGAAGCAGATCACAGGCAGGCACTGAGAACAGGGACTATGCATGTGATAAGAACAGCTGCACTCTCTGTGGGAGAACTGACAAAAAAGAAGCTTAGGGTGCTGGGAGACCTGATCTCACAGCCCAGTCCCCTGACATGGCTATGTACTCTCAAATCTGGTGATCCCACAGTGAGCTGTTCACAAGGGAAATCCTATATCATTGGTGCCATCTTCCTGGAACTCAGAAATTAACTATTTTTAATTACATGGAATGTGGATGGATTAAATACACGTTCAAGTGATAGAAGTTAGCAGATAAATACACAAACGTCACCTATCAATATACTGTCTACAAGAGAAACACCTTAGACACAATGGTAAATATAGATTGAAAATCTAAAATTGAGGAAAATGATTTTCAAGGACATTGCAGTCAAAAAAGGAGTAGGCAGGAGTTTTAGTCTCAGGAACCCAAAAAGAGTCACAATGAATCAGAATCAGCATCCCTAGGTAGCACAAATTGTTGAGTGCTTGACTGCTAGCAGAAAGGTCAGTGATTTGAACATACCTAGATGCTTTTCTAGAACACAGACCTGTTACCCTGCTTCTGAGAGGTCACAGTTGGGTTGTCATGAATCAGAATGGACTCAACAAGGACACTATTTTTATCTATCACCAAAATTATTTGGTTATGAAATTAAAAACTCATCTTCTTAAACCTATAATCTGCAAGCTCAATTAAAATTTTTGACATTTCCATTTGGCTTCAAGTATTTTAGGGTGATCTTTTCCTGTGACTAGTTGCTCCAGGGTGGGTTAATGATGAGCTGTAGTCTGTGGCTGTAGAGGGTGGATGGGGTAGGGGGATAGTTAGAATGGTCACAGAGGTCAGCAGATGTCCAATGTTACTGATGCAGGTATTTGCTTCTTAAACAAGACATTCTGCCACAAACCTAGGAGTTTCACAAAAGAAAGTTTCCACAACAGACTGAAGCATTGGGCTCATTATAGACCATATAAATAGCAATTTAATGTCTTTGGTGGCTAGCCAAAGAGTTTAGTCTGAATTAAAAGTCTTTTGGGTTCATTACAAATATTCCCTATAGTAGACATAATGAAATTACAGGTCGATCAATAAAATAAAGTTTAAAGATCTCTTAAGACTTCTAAATATCAACATATTCATCAAAAGGCCTGGTTTATTCACTTCAAAACCCATGCGATTAAAAATCACATAGAAATGGAACAAAGAAACCAGCACAAAAAACACACTGAAAAATGATAGCAATAAATTGATACCTATCTCTATTTATAGTGAACATGAGTGGATTAATGCAATGCTCAAAAGGCAGAGAATAGCAAATGGATAAGAAAAAAAATCACCTATCAATACTCTGTGTACAAGGGACACATTTTAAACACAAAGGTAAAAAGGGACTCAAAATATAAAAATGAGGAAAATGATCAAATAAATGGCTGTCAAAAAGAGCAGGCTGGAGTGTCCATATTCACTTCTGATAAAATATACTTATAGCAAAAACCAGCATGAGAGAAGGAAGGACACTATGTAATGATTAAAGTGTCAAGAAGACATAAATATCTATGTGATAAATTAAAGAGCTTCAAAAAATCTGGTCACCTTAAACTAAATATAAAGAAAACCCAAATCTTCACAACTGGACTAATAGGTAACATTATGATAAGCGAAGAAAAGAAAATCCTGCAGTTGTCAAGGATTTGATCTTGTTTGGATCTACAGTCAATGCATGGCATTGGGTAAATATACTGGACAAGATCTCTTTAAAGTGTTGAATAGCAAGCATGTTACTTTGAGGATTAAGATGCTCCTGACCCAAGCCATGCTATTTTAAATCACCTCACAAGCATGTGGAAATTAGACCTTGAATAAGGAAGACCAAAGAAGAATCAACACATTTGAGTTATGGTGCTGGTGAGGAATATTGAAAGGACCACGGAGTGCCAAAAGCACAAACACATCTGTCTTGGAAGAAGTAAAATCAGCATGTTCCTTAGAGGTAAGGATGGTGAGACTTCATCTCGTGTACTCTGGGCATGTTAGCAGGAGAGCGGCCAGTCCCTGGAAAAGGCAACGTGCTTGGTAAAGTAGTGGGGGCAGTGAAAAAGAGGAAGGCCTTTGACAAGCCATATGGGCCTAGTAGCTGCAACAATGGGCTCAGATATGACAATGATTGTGAAGCTGGCACAGGACAGTGATGTTTCATTCTGTTGTTCATAGTCTCTATGTGTCAGAACTAACTGGACAGCACCTAACAACAATACTAAAGTCCCCGGTTAACAGAGACTGATGAAACCTCAAGACTATGGCCTCTAGCTACCCTTCAAGCCTTGAACTTAACTCTTCTCAACTTCCCCAATCTCCTTCATGGTTCCACTTTCAGCAAAACAACACATAAGTGTATAAGGTAAGCAATAACACTATACAGTGAGCAATAGCACTAAGGATGGGCACACTTCTTACAACAATCAACCACCTGAGAACTGAAGGGCAGCGTGTGCCCCAGGACAAAGTTTAGAAGGCAGAAAGGATTAGGAAAGAAGATAGCATGGAAACAGGAAACCCAGGATAGAAGTATAGGGCAAATGATGTTACATTGTGATGGATGCAATCCATGACATGAAACAAAATGTGTATAATTGATGAATAGAAACTGGTTTGTTCTGTATACCTTCACCCAATTAAAAATAAAATGTTAAAAAAACTCACAGAGAAATAACTTCTAATTAAAAACAAACAAATAGAAAAAAGCAGCCCAGGCAAGTTAGATACTAATATTAACTTTATTTTTAGTTACAGCATGGAATATATGATCAAACAGATGTAACAAATTTTTTTGTGGTTCGGTTAAATGGACAATCTGCATAAGAGGCTGCTAGTTTTAAATCTTGTGATGCAGAGCGAATGGAATTGTGAATTCAATTATAACATAAAGTAAGAATCGTCTACCTGTGTGTAAGGTCAAATACATTTGGAACGTTAAATAACAGACCTTTTGTTCAATCTTTGGTGGGTGATTTATATACTCATCTTCCCTGCGATGGAAAATATCCCACTCTTACCTTGATGAAAAGTGATTCTCTTTACATCAGTCAGATACCTTGTACCTACAGGATGAAGGCTTCCAATTACATACTGTTAAGCTCCTGGATTCATTGTTACACTTGATTTTAGACAAAAGACTGAGAGGTGAATGGATTCATTTTTATTGTCCTAATACTGTTAGGAGAGCATTCACCACTTAAAACAATTTAAGGAATAGGCCAAAGACAACATGGTTTAGTTAAAACATTAAGCTTAAAAAAAACCCCAAAAAACATGAAGCTTATGATTAATCCCATTAATTTTTTGGAACTTTGTGATCAGTATCTATAATGCTGTCTTGATTTCTATTGGTAATGAGTAGCCATTTTTTTAGTACAAGGGTCAATGAAGGACAAAACATTTAAAGCATTTAAGGCCACATTATTTTCTTCGTTAGAATCAGTATAGCTTTATAAATTTCCCTGGGAGGAAAATTTGTTTTTGTATAACTCTGTTGAGTAAAAGGACATCAATGAGGAAATTGGCATTGTTTTAGCTACCAGAATATTTCTGTCCAGGTGTCTTAGCAACACAGATAGATTGTCTAATCTTTTACCCTGAAATTCGATTTCAGGCTTTTTGCATAGCTAGTCAGGCTACAGGCAACTTTGGGGTTATGATTTGCTCATTATTGACTTATGGATTTATACTAAATGCATAAAGCTCTTGGGCAAAACAGGTTTTGCTTCCGACATGAACTAAAATAGGCTGGTTTTTATTGCATTGTCCATAGCAAATGTTTATGAGAACAGGCAAAGATAATGTTTTCAACAGAAATGCAAATTGGCTTGAAAAATAAAATCTGGGATTACATTTCCCTCTATTTTAATATGTCCTTACATGGATCATCGACTGGAAACCAGAGCAGAAGGGGAATAAGAAGGTTAGATAAAGAAGCGTTTAATTTTCCTATGTGCAATTAGGCACTGACTGAGGCATTTAGACACCATTGATTCTAAAGTGCATTGAATAGAAATGTTGAAACCCACCCCTCTCTTTCCAAACAATAACTCAATAAAACCCAGCTATCTTTCTTGGAAACAGTCCAGGAACATGCATAGATGGACATTTAAATACTCTATCACAGTCTTTATTACTTATAGTCCTGCAATAATCACAGCAACACATTATACTTGCTTATATCATGCTTTATCCAAGGACCTCAAAGTCATGGCATCACGCAATGTGATGTTAACATTTAGTATTCTTCAGTATAGTAAGTCTACTTATTTATGGCATGAGACATAGATTCCCCAAATAAAAGCTCCGAGAGAAGCCTACATTTCTCTCTATTGGCTTGCAATTTTCTGAATTTTCAAATCTGCTAATTGTACCTTTACATACATACACCATTAGCTCTAAGTGAACGTGATTTTTAAATGTCAGTAACAAGATGAGGATTGACACACAAATACACGATTTGTCTCTTTGGATCATTTGATAGCCCACTTTAGAAACTCACATGGTGGAACGTCAGAAATGGGTTTTTAACAATGCATCTTTATCAACTCATAATACGAGCAGCTATGATCTGTGGGTATTAATACAACATCTGACATTAGCACAACATATACATTCATACTACATTGAATCTCTATAGATTTTCACATTACACATTTAACACAAAAGCAAAAAGTGCATCAATTTATGAAAGGCCCAACTGTTGGTCATTTTTAAGAACAAAGTTTGCTGTATCCTTGCCTTGCACTAAAAACCTCGTCTATCTTAGAGTTTACCTGGGAGACCTAAGTTAGCATAATTAAAACAGGTTTCTGTGACATCATGGTGATGCCAGGTCCACTGGAGCAAGGTACAGGCCAGTGTGAGAAGCCCGCAGTGAGGGGAAGCGCCCAGAGCCGTCTTACACTCACTCAATGCACAAAGCCCAGCTCTTTCCTGTCTGGGCCCCACAGGATGGGCATGCTGGGCATTTTCTTTCTTTAAAGAATTTCGGACGCTATTTGAAAATGGATTACTGGGGTGGGGGGGTGGGGGTAAAGGGCACACATGTGGTTAAAGTTTCTATCTTTCTGTGGCACTCAGTTAGGTCTTCCTGGGAATGTCTTTACTTCCGAGGAGCTGTAATATGCGTTCATTTTTGGTTAGTTCTGCTGGAAGTTCATTGGCCTAAAAGAAGGAAAGATCAGCATTAATGAATTCTTACAGTGGGAGGTGGTTTTAAGGACTCCCAAGAGGGTACCCTATCCAAACTTTCTCCTCCATGGGTAAGAAATTCCCAGATGTACTACTGTATGTTAGAGGCTAACTGAAAGAAAAGTATATATATATGGCTAACTGAAACACACACACACACACACATATAACTACTACCTGTTATCTTTTTAAAAAATATCATTTTTAGAATTATTGTTCCATCCATATCCCCTACCAGACTACAATCTCCTGGATGGCAGGGTCCTGGTCTTCTGCATCATTGTATGCTTAACATATCCAATAGGTGTTCAATAAAGTTATCCCTCCATATCCCCAGGGATTGGTTCTAGGACTACATGCCAAGACCCAAATCCAAAGATGCTGAAGTCCCTTATATAAAATGGCATAGTATTCTCTTGTAACCTTGTACACATCCTCCCATATATATGTTTTTGAATCATTTTATTGGGGGCTCATTCAACTCATCACAATTCATACATCAATGGAATCAGGCATGTTTGTACATATGTTGCCCTCATTCTTTTCTAGACATTTACTTTCTATTGAGCCCTTGATATCAGCTCTTTTTTTTCTCCCCCCTCCTCCCATACATTTTTAATCTCCTCTAGATTACTCACAATATCTACTGCCATGCACATGTTATATAAATAATATTCAGTGCCTCCTCTTTGCCTTTAAGGGATTGTTTTGCTCACTTAATTGATTTCCACTCCTCAGGCTCAAAAGCCAGAAAAAGAAAGAGAGAGCGGGGGGAGTGGGAAAGGAGAGAAGAGTTGCTTCTCTCTGGTTTAGGAAGACGCTGCCCAATGGAATTAAACGATGGGAAGATAGCTCTTATCTCTTATCTACAGGTGTGTACATGCTCTGGTCTAGTCCGAAGTGAAAGGCATCACTAGTACCTTGTTTTTCAGGGCTGGGTCCGCCCCTGCTTCCAGGAGCAGAGCTACCGTTTTAATGTTGCCACTGAGCACTGCTGCATGGAGCGCTGAAGTCCCATTCTAAGAGAAAAGACAACATGGTTAGGAGGGAGCTCACAGAAGCCTGCACTTTGACGTCATGAGCCAACCTGAGTGATGAGGCTGCAGTGAGTCTTATTCCTCTTCTTACCTTCTCTCTTACTTATATGGAGGACTTACATACTTTAAACCTTGTGGTGGGAAAAGTCCCCACAACATTGTGCCAAGCATTTGCTTTCTCTTTGAGCATGACACACGCAGACACTGTACTTTAGGGGAGCCACTTCCGGCAAGCCCGAAGGACTGGGCTGGCTAGTCAATGGCTCAGCCTGGTAGCCCAGCTACAGATGCTCAGCTTATGTAGGGGGCGGGAGAGTGACTGTGGAGCTACAGGATTTATGGATCAGAGAACAGGAGGGGAGCAAAACCTCATTAGCTCTGTGAGTTGGGAGTCTTTCTTTATACAGAAGGGCATGGTGGGTGAGTTGTTGATTTTATGAAATTCACTGTAAATATTTATTGAAATAAGAATGCCGGATTCTGGGAGGGTACAAGAAGAGAGTATAACAAATCTAATGTAAGAACAACATCAACAACAACATAAGAACAAGGGGCAGATACATGACATCTCTTCTGGAGGGTATATGTAAAGGAGCTTCAAAAAGTTCCTGGTAACATTCGATTATCTTTTAATTTCATTTTTCCAGGAACTTTTTGAAGCCCCTTTGTATGCCCATGAACATGACCCAAATGCAAGATGTCTCCAAATAACTACCTATAATAATAAAAGCATCCTCCCTTTATCACAGATGAAATGTACTCAGAGAAGAATTGCAGAAAAGTGGCATTTTTCTACAGTTGCTTGTGTCACCTGTATGGTAACTCATAAATGTGGAAATAAGTCATCTATCTCCATTTCCATCACAACGTGTAATATGACTAAGAACCCAAAATCAAGCCCCAAGGAGCTCTTTGAAGTCAAGCAACATGGAAAGCCCATTTCTTTTCTTATTTAAATCATTTTATTGAGAGCTCTTACAATGCTTATTACAATCCATACATCAGTTGAATCAGGCATATTTGTACATATGTTGATATCATTCTTTTCTAGAAAGTTACCTTCTATTAAGCCTTTGGTATCAGCTCCTCCTTTCCCCCCCTTCCTCCCTCCCACCCTTGTGGCCCCTTGATAGATTATATATGATTATTTCCATGTCTCACACCGACCACCATCTCCCTTCCCCCATGGTTTCCGTTGTTCTTTTCCCTGGAGGGGTGTGTGGTTGTGTGTGGATCAGTTCCTCCCCCACCCCTTTATCCTTCCCATCTGGTATCTCTCTTCCCATTCCTACTCCTGGGTTGCGTGTGTCCCGAGCTCTTATCTCTTATCTACAGCTGTGTACATGCTCTGGTCTAGTCCAAAGTGAGAGGCATCACAGGGGTCATGGTGGTGGGGGTGAGGAAGCCTCAAGGAACCAGAGGAATAGTGTGTGTTTCATCAGTGCTTTACTGCACCCTGGTTGACTCATCCCTTCCCTGTGACCCCTCTGTGAGGGATGTTCCATTGTCTTCAGATGGGTTTTGGGTCTTTGCTCTGATCCCCCTCATTCATTTTTTTTAAAAACATTTTATTAGGGGCTCATACAACTCTTACCCCAATCCATACACACATCAATTGCGTAAAGCGCATTTGTACTTCATTCTCAAAACATTTTCTCTCCACTGAAGCCCCCGGCATTAGGTCCTCATTTTTCCCCTCCCTCC